TTTTACGAGTCACAGCACCTTCACCCAAAGCGGAACAGATCATTTCGATAGACTGAGCAGCACTTCTATCCCCAAAAAAAGGATGCGGTGCCTCAGATACCTCCTTTCGAACAGCATCGTGATAACTGCTGTTTCCTGAGGTTACACCGGCAAGGCCGTCAACTATTGCAGTGCTTCTTGAAGCTCAAGGCTGACACTTTCAAATCACTATGGGACAGGAAAAGAAAATTTAAATCGGAACCAGAGTTACAAGACGTTGAATGCAAAGGCACCGAATTCATTTGTACGCCTAATATTCTTTGAAAAATAATCGGACTCGGATCGGGAGATCGGACTGGGATCCCGATGAGATATCATTTTTTTATACGGGCTGTTCGCGTCACGCAATATGTCCTCCTCAACTCCTAAAACATCGAGACGTGTCGTCTCGTCTCCCTACATTTCCACTCGCGGGGTTTTGCGTCGAGACGGCACGACGGTAATGCTGGATTCAGTTAGGAAATGTAGGGCACCCGGTACGCGGCACGCAGGAAGCATCACGCGAGCGTGCTTCTCTAGCCTCTGCGTGTCGCAGCACTCATAATTGTAATGTTGCGTGATGTATATGTCCCAATCATGATCGTTACAATAAAATGTCCCATTCCAGGGTACCGTTGCGAAAGTGTCCTAAATACGCTCTCTCTCTCTCTCGTGCTCTCTTACGTAAGAATCGCAGCTCTAATTCGCGAGGAAGAGGCTCAAAGCGTCGAGCGTTGAAAAAAGCGCACCGCAAATCCAAGTGTTTAATTTTACATGCAGCCACTTTTCACACAATTGTTCGCGCGTTATATCATGTATGCATGATTTTACACACGCATAAGTGTGTAAAATTATACACTTAAATTTGCCGTGTAATTTTTACATATTTATACGTGCAAAATCATATTAGGAATACGTGTGAGTTGCGAATATGTAAGAAGAGACGCAGTACAACAAAATGTGTAAAATTATGTACTTGGAGTGTCGTGCGTGTGATCGTTCGCGGTGTGCCTCGTTATAAAATACGCTCTTCATATCGTCCGCCCGTCCGTCCGTCCGTCGGTACTGATAATTATCGCCCGCCTCCTTTACCATTCGTCCGACAATCATCCGCCGTGTGATTGTACGTGCAGCACGCGGGAAGAAGCGCGCGCTCGCCATTCGTTCAGTCTCGCTTTATCGGTCACTAGTCGTGTGCGCGCTTGTAAAATTGGCGTTACGCTCGACGTTACGCAAGCACGGACAATTTTCTAGCCCGCTCGGCTCGCGCGCACGCGCGCGCTCGCTCGCTCGCCATCCGCCGTATTCAATTTCTCGGTACGAGAATCGAAAAACAGTTTGAACATTGAACGTTATTTTATTGCGCATAAAAATATCTAATAATATATATTTTTTTTTTATGTTCAACTCTATGTATATATATAATATATATAATTGTAGTGTTTTATTTCAAATGTATCGTAATACCAATTGTTTTATTATATTAAGTCGAAATAATGTTGTGTAAAAACACGTTTTATATTTGTATAACTATACATATGTATATATCATATGTATATATATATATATATGTATATATACACACATACATATATATATTTTTTTTTCTATATTATTATCTTTTTTTTTTAATTCTAAGAACTTTTTTTATAATATGCCAAGAATTTTATGTGAAGTGGATGTATAATATTAATGGAACGTTCCTCTAATATTAAGAAATATTATGTGACATTCTTAGAATATTGCAAGAATATTATTTTAATATTTAATAATATTCATATAATATTCTAGAAGTATTGCGCGCTTATAGGGAAGAAGTGATGCATATTTGTCACTGCGACTGAGAATATTCATGTGAGCGTTCGGCTGCGTTATAAAAGTCTCAATGGAGACAACTGGATGAGCAGTCGACTGAATAGGAATCTTCCTGTTCCCACAACCGAATTTTCGTCTGGTCCCCGAGCGGTGAAAAATTTCGTTATAACAATGAAACGGTTTTTCCCGCGCACATATACACATAAGATCAAAGGTCATATTTCCTCTTTGTCTCCGGATTATTCTCAATCTGGCCAGAGGCATTAATCGAACGGTGAGTTCGATTATTAATATAAAAGCAGGAATTGAGGCGATCTATTATTATCCCAACGAATTCAATATTGCGTTGTCTGTTAACAATCAGTTCCAAATTCTAGCGGCGTTCGACGAGAGCCGTGTCAATTCAGAACTGTCGTAACCTTTTTCTACGATCGGCGTTGCTCCTGCGGCTTTCAAGCTTATAGGTTATGTGTGCGAGTTATGAGTGTACAAGGCTAGAGATCGCGTAATTTTCCGTCTAGAGAATGATACAGCATACATGACGCCGGCTGTACGATTAGAATCGTACGCCGCTTATCAACGATCGTCCACGATTATGCGTGGTGTTTGCGCGCATACGCGCCTATCACAGGAAGAGGACCTGGCGACGACGACACTTGAGCGACGCGCGCGCGGGTCACACCTGTCCACTTCGGTTTCCCTGCCGGATTGTTCCTATGCAGCGAGCGAGAAGCCGCTCGCGGGGACTTTCCTCTTCTCGCGCGCGTAAAAAGAAAAGAAAAAACGCGAGAGCGTAATCAATCGACCTTGTGGCTGGCTGGGAAAAAGCCGCGAGCTGGATTTAGCCGATTAGCGAGGAAATATTTTTCGGTTACGTGAACGCGCCTCGCCGTTTTGCCTCGCCGCTCATTCCCATTCGACACTCTCGGCTCGTCCCGCGCGTTTCGACCTTCGGACATCGTTGGGAAAAGAAAAAAGGAAAGAAAAAAGAAGCATCCGTCGAGGCGCTCTCTTCGCAGAGCGAGGGGGCGGGCAGCCGGGCGGAAGGCCGAAAAGGAACGCGGAGGAGAACGCGACGAAGCGAGCAGACTCGCCGTCTTCCTACCTTCCTCTCTTTTTACCCTTTTTATATCGGCCCTCACTCTCCCTTTCAGCGCGTCCCTTCGCTCCCGCCTCGCTCTTCACGTACGCCGAGACACTCGAGGCATCCATCGCCGAAAAGTAAAAGTCGCCAAGGGCTTAACCCTTCCGTGGAGGGATAATCGCCCGGGGTCGTTTCATACCCCAGCGCTCGGGAAATGAAGCTTACGTCGCAGCGGGTTTTCTTCCAATCGGGAACCAACACTTACCTTTTTTGCACATTTGCATATTTCAAGGCCTAACTTGCGCAACAAGAATCGGCGATGATCCGAAATGTCCGATTTCCTTAAGCACTAAGTTCGAGTGTCGATATCTCTGACATTTCACTCTGACAGTCGTTGGTTTGCTTTTTTCTTATTATGAAGGTACATCATCACTCTTTCAAGCGCACATTTTGGTTTGTAATTATCTTTCGAACATGAGTTACGTCGTGGAACCAATGCGGCGCAGATAGCTCGAAATATCAACGACGTGTTTGGCGAGGATGCGGCTAATGGACGCACGGTGCGTCGATGGTTTGATAAGTTCCGTTCTGGCGATTTTAATCTCGAAAACGAGCCACGTGGGCGTGAGCCCGAGACCAAGGTGGATAATGATGAGCTGAAAGCTGTCGTGGAAACGGATGGCATCTCAAGCTGCGCGTGAATTAGCAGCAAGGTTTTTCGCTTGTGTCGTTACTTGTATCATCAAATCAAATCAACCGATCCGTCGTCAACGTATATCTCATTATCTCAACTTCCTCATTTATCTCTTGACCCTCTTCCTCTTCAAATTACGCTCATCAAAACATCCGGGAGATCAATCCCCGAAAAGTAAAAGGACGAGGACTCGCTGAGGACTCGTATCGTTCAATAAAATCAAGATGCCCCCCGTCGATGTATCTCGAGTTTTCCCCTTTACCTCCTCTTCTTCTTCTTCCTCAAGTTGAAGACTTAACGATACCGCCAAAAATCACGTTCTTCGCAACGCGTTACCACCTCGATGATTCCGGACTTAACATAAATCAGCATGTTACGCCGTAACGTCCGCAAGGGAGAACACCGGGACCAGCCTTTACGCCGTACATACGTACGTACATATATATATATACACGTACATATATATGTACTAAACGAGCGGTGACACGCGAGTATCGCGTGCGCCTGCACGATCGCAGGTGCACGTGCATGCATGTCGTCGTCGTCGGGCCGTCCCCTCGGCCGGCCGATACAATGCGGAAATGCGGCGGAAGTGTAACGAAACTGCTAACTAGCGCGAGGAGCCCTTCGGCGGAAGGGAATCGAGCTCCTCCCCCCCCCCCTCTCTATTCCGCAGACTCATCGTCGAATTACTCAGTGTTCTATCCAGCCCATCTTAGTCATCTAATATCCATCATTACGACCTTCGTTAACATTAGCCGAGCCCGCTCACCCGCTACGTACGTACGTCCAACCCAAGTAGAAATTCAAGCAGTTTCTACCCGATAAAGCGGGATCTACAATGGGAATTTAAGACGCGAGATGACCAGCGAACGGGAGGCCGATAGAAGACGACGGCGGAGACTCGTGAAGGAAAGACTCAATCCGCTGTGTTCGCGGATTTCCCGGATCTCTCGCACGTTCAAGCCAACTCGTGCCTACGGAGGATTCTCAGCGAGAACGCCTCGGCTCTCTCGTCGCGAATCAACCGAGCCCTGCGCCAGCTACGAATGCGTTGCGCGTGTGTGTACGCGTGCGTGTACCGTACCTTACACACGTCTCCTCTCTCTCTCTCTCTCTCTCTCGAGGCCACGAGCGAGCCGCAATACGCACGGCAACGCCGCGTTCTCGCGCTCTCGGGCTGTTGCGTAACGCTGCGGAGTCATGCGATATATAGGATAGTCGTCGTCGCTACGCGTAGCGCGCTGCCGGCGGCTCGGCGCGGTATTATGGTAAGGCGAGGCGCGGGAGGGTGAGAAGGGGAGGGGGATAGGCGAGGAGGATAGACAGCGACGAAACAGCGACGGGCGAGACGAAGGAGGCGTAGAAGGGCGAGGAGGGGTGACGACGGCGCTCAGCCTTGAAACGCCTCGTCACGAGCGTCGTGCACGAACGTAGTCGGACGGACGGACGGACTCGACGCAGATTGCGAGCGGCGATTCCCTTCTTTCTCTCTCCTCGCTCGGATTTTCCCGTGTCCGGCCGATCCGGCGAAGGGAAAGGGCTCGCGATGTACCGCCATCCGAGATGTCCGTCTCGCGATGACAACGTCGCCCTTTAAACGAGGCCGAGAGAGCGGGTGGATTCGCGCGGAATCTTATACGCGTGGCCGATGTTGAGAAGTAGCGGTTGCCCTCGGTGACTCGGTTTTCGTGCCGCGGGCTTTGAAGGTTAGAGTATAATTCATAAGTACGGAAAGTTCCTGTAGCTGGTTTCGGGAAATTCGTTAAATTTAATTATGTTAGTCCCGGTTTATACAGTAGGTGTTTTAAGCGCTTAAAAAATGGACCAACGCACGGTCGAATTGTAGAAGAAAGATCTATTGTGATTGGTCGGTTTTTTAAATCTTATGTTCCTTAAATTCTCATTGTAGACCCCGCTTTGGATATCGCCTATTTTATATTCTGTGGGAGAGGGGAAGAGGAGAGAGAGAGAGAGAGAGGTGGGGGGTGTGCGAATATATAGACGTTACAAAACGAACGCGTTTCCGACAAAACGGGCCATCGATCCGGCGCACTCGAATATAGTAAAATAGGTTACTGGGTAAGACTCGGTTTTCATTGCGGAGCGTTTCTGCGTTTCCACGATGCTCCACGCCACGGGGAAAAGTTCCGAGTTAGAATATTCGTTAATTTCCCGCTGCCTTCTTTTCCGGCACTCGAGATTCGCAGATTCTGCGTTCCCATTCATTGTACCTAACATTATATATATAGAGGGCGTATGGAAACCCTGAAAAATTTCGGAAAATATAAATTTTACGAAAAAATATTTCGAACAAAAATTGTAAGTTTTAAAAAGATCTATTTACTGATCTTATTAGTTTGATCCTGGCGCCGTCAAGGTCAGGTCGAGTTGAATTTTTTAAACGTGACCCCTTACTTTTTATTGCATATTCTTATAGCCCTTGTTGAGACGTTTTCAGAACACTATAATAAAGCTTCTTTTAATTAAGAATTACCTGAGATATTTTCAAATTTGTCACGACACTTTTTATATCATGTAAAATATGAAATATCTCGTAAAGTAAAGAAGGAGGATCCAGCCTTCTAAGACAAGATCGGAGGAGTATCTACCTAAATAAACAATTTTTATATTTAAGCATTATTTCTTTAAATTGAGTAAATCTAATTTTAGCGAATATATTTGCTCAAATTAAGTAAATTTTTCTCTCAGCATACGAAAGGATATCCATCGACCAACGCGAAAAAGCATTATTTATAAAATTCATTATTTCCTAAGTTATTAAAGCAAACTCTCCCTTTCTTTCTTTCTCTTCTCCCCCCCCCCTCTCTCTCTCTCTCTCTCTTCTACTCAATGAGAGAGAGCCGGCCAGTTGAGGGGTGAGCATTGTCGGCTTAAAATCCTCCTCAACGAGAACATCTTACAGAGTCCTCGATCGATGTCACTCCAGATAATTGCCTGATTCTTCTGGAGCGACGTGTACAGTTTACCTCACGCACTTCCAAAGCCTACTGTACATACCTCTCCGCAATATAATCGATACGCGGGCACAAAATTCCCGCCAACCATTCGCGGAAATGGCGGGTAATCCGCGTCGGATCCGCTTTCCAAGCGGGATATCACCTTGCCTCGATGACGACCGAACCGACGACCGGGAAGCGGAAGCCGACCGTTGTGCGAATCGTTAAGAAAAGCAGAGCGGAAGGGAAGACCGGAGAGAGAGAACCTATCGGCGGATCAGGATGAGGGAGGGGTCGAGAAGGAGAGGAGAGAGACAAGAAAGTCGAGGGAAGGAAGAGAGAGAGAGAGAGAGAGAGAAAGAAAAAAGCAGTTTAGCAGGAGGGTGGCTGCTCGACCTCGTGGTAGGCCTCGATCGATGCCGTTGCCGTGACGACCGGGGCCGGCACCGTGGTGCTCCACTACTGATTATTTATGTCAAAGATTCCCCCCTCCCCCTCCCTTCCTCCCTACCCTCCGGCCGGCATCCCTACGGTACAAAACGCGAGCGAGCGAGCTATCTCTCGTTCGGGCGGAGGGGCGAACGCTCGGCAACCTACTAGCCTACCCGCGTGACACTGAACACATCAAGAGGTTCAACCGGGGGGATGGATGAACCCGCGAGGTGGTCGGTATATACGCGGATAAAAAGAAGCGGGGAAGGGTATGCCGGGAGAGTGAACGTAGTGGCCAGTGGCGTAGTTCGTTCCGAGGAGAAGGATCGAACGATTCCTTTCTCGTGTATTTCGCGCGAGTACCTCGGCGTACCTCTCGAAGGAGAGACACACACAGCCGAGATATTGTATTAATGGAAATATGTACGTTAAACATTAAAAATTAGATACCGGAAGGAGTATTAGATACTTCGATGTGTTGTATCGCTGATAGCCGATGAAGACGGTTTGTACAAACGATTCCAACCACCGATGATCATAATGTATTAACAATTACAATTCGATGTACAGGCTGCGTCAGCTAAATCCGGACAGATTTCAATTTGAATTCCCCGCCATATTTTACTTCAGCGCTAAGTTGCTATTTGCGTCCGAGTAACGATGAAACGATGTTCTGAACGAACATAACCTCAAAATGGCTGAGCGGTCAAGATCGAGCATGGAATATGACCGAAGAGCGGCGATTATTGAAAGTCTTCGCGCTGGACGTACGCCGGTCGAAATAATTGAGTTCTTCAAATACCCGAGATCGACCGTTTACGAAGTTCCCGCTAAATATAAAGCTTCGGAGAAGTCCGAAGAAGATTCCGCGAACCCGTCGAGGAAAGCTATTCAAGGGAGAGGTCGGCAAGGACCCCGGAAGTTGTCCGAAGGGCCCAAGAGCTGATCGCAGAAGACCCAGGGCGGTCTCTCAGGAAATTGGCGACAATTTTGGGTGTGAATGAGACATTGTGGCCGCCGGGAAGTCGTACATTTTCCAACAAAACGGCGCACCAGCTCACACGAGTCATTTGGTCCGAAACTGGCTGTCGGATAACGTCGACACGTTTTGGAGCAAAGAGTTTCGGCTTCCGAATAGTCCGGATTTAAATCCGTTCGACTATTACGTGTGGAGCGTGATTGAAAGGGTCACTAACAAGTCGAGACATCCTAATGCGGCATCTCTCCAAGCCGCTATTGAAGCAGCGTTCTTCAATATGGACGAGCCAGCGTTGCAGAGAGCTTGCAATCGCTTCAAGATCGAGGCAGCAATTGCGACAGACGGTGGTTACATTGAGTAATTTTTGTCTATAACGGTTCCAACAAATGACACGAAAGAAGGTTTTTTCATGCAATTTTCTACGTTTCACCAAGAAACTTCTCTTAAATATATTGTTTATTCTGTCCGGATTTAGCTGACCCTATACTTCATTAGTTTCGCCAATACGATCTCTCCTTGATTTTGAGGAGAGGGTGTGCAAGTCGCGCGAGCTGGACGGAGTCGTCGAAAATTGACGTTTCCGCCGCTGCGCGAAGGGCGAAGGGGGGAAAAGAAGAAGAGGAGAGAGAGAGAGACGGTGGATGAAGACGACGGGGGGAGAGAGGGGGGGGGGGNTGGAATACATATGTAGATCAACGAGGGAGAAGAAGGTAAATAGGCCGCGTCGAGAGTACGAGTATACAGAGTATATAAAACCGCGTTGTGCGGTTCTATTCAGGATCTGGGACGGACCCGTGACATTCGTAAACGATCGCTCACGGTTTATTAACGGTATTATCAACAGCACTGATATCCGGCCGAAGTTGAAAAGAGCACCTGTAACCCCGTGCCGCCTCCTCTCCCCCATTGAACGAGACGAGAGTGAATGCGCGGTACGTTGTGAACGCGTCGCGAAATATAACGTCGCGAACGATATCGTCGCAGATGTATTCAATGTTCCAATTACCGGCGGACATCGCGACAAAAATGAGACTACGACGGCGGAAGTGTAACAATGAGTTCGCCCGGAGACAGATAGAGGAAGAGAGAGAAAGAAAGAGAGAGAGAGAGAGAGAGAACGGGATGGAAAGAGCAATAGTATATTATAAAATGGCGTACTCACATACACAGTACAGAAGCGGGAGCGAGAGCGCGGCAACTGCTCTCGGAGGAGGAGGGGGGAGGGAGGAAGGGTGCCTTCGACCCAGTTTCATCCTCGCAGCAAGGTGGCGGCAATCGATACTGCGCCTAAGGGCCGCTTGAAACGCGATCGCAGTGCCACTGCCGCGTTGCCGAATGCGAAAATTCGGGCCTCGCTACTCCGTGCGCGTCGCCACTGGAGACGCGGGCGCGCACACACACACACACACGTATACACGCAGAACGCGGTATGTGACCTGAAAACCCGATGGTGTAATTTTTAGCGCTGTGCGAACGCGCGGAATCGAGTCGTGCCTAATTCGGCATCGGCAGATCGCCGAGCGGCTTCTTCCGGAAGCGCGCGAATCGGCTGGACGCGATAAAAGCGAACGACGAGGCAAGCCGCAATAATTCTTGCCGGAAAGTGACTGCGGTCGCTCTCAGGGCTACGTTGTCGTCGTGATAGCACGGTCTCGGGTTTAGAGAGAGCCGAGGACGACGATGCAATCGAGGCCTCCGTGATTAGGCGCGTTTGAATGAGGCGAGCGAGCTTGCAATAAGCGAGCGTAAACCGAACACGCCCGCATTATGACGCTCTTATCTGCTTACATATAACCGACGTGTAGAACGAATAATGGTAATAAATCGTGAGGCGTCAACGCGCTGCCGATAATTCCGACAGTGGGCGGACACGCGGAAGAAACGCGAGCCGATTCTGCCGAGCGAGCGGGATATTGTACGCGCGTTGTAGGCATACGCAATATCGGACGCCGCTGAAGAGAGAGAGAGAGAGAAAGAAAGCGGTTCTTTAATACTGTTCTTTCTCTTCCTAAAAGAAAAAAAGAAAGGAAGAAAGCAAGCTCAAATATCTCTAGTAACTGTTGTTCTATAAAACGAGGCCTACTATGAGAATTTAAGGCGTAAGATTTGAGAAACTGACCAATCATAATTGACTTTTCTCCTAGAATTTGACTGTGATTGGTCAATTTCTTAAGTCTTAGAGCTTAAATTCTCATTGTAGACCCCGCTTAAGTCCCGGTCTGCAATAGATATTTTAAGCCTTAAGCCTTAAGAAATTGACCAATCACAATTGATTATTCTTCTATAATTCGACTGGTCAATTTCTTAAGGCTTAAAGCATCTATTGCAGACTAGGACTAACGTTGCCAAGACCTTCATTCTGCGGCGCAACTATGAATCCTCCAGATCGAATGGCTATCGGAATATGAAAAGACTGAAATAAGCCTTCGCAACGGAACGTGGCGATATGCTTTATTTATGACTCATTGATCATTAAATAGAAGAAGCGGAGTTTCGCGGATTCACACCAGGTCGCAGCATGCGACACACAGCGGGAGACTCGTGAAACTCCCTTTTTCTCACGTCGATCAACAACAATCGCGCCGAGAAACTGGAAATGGACTTTACCGATGTCGGAGAGAGATTGAACTTCTCGGACTATATATATATATATAGNAATACAAAAAATTAAAAAAAATATATAAAAAAAAGTTTATATAAACATATATCTTATTTGATCTTATTTCAGTTGTTAATGATTGAAAATGGCCATGTACACAGGCTTCTTTAATTGATAATTCGAAATAACTCGATATATATATATCTTTATACAGGGTGAGCCAAAAGTCTGGATGCAATCGAATATCTCATAATAAACAAAACAATTTTAAAAAATATGTTTCAAACAAAAGTTACAAGGTTTAAAAATATCTATTCACTGATCTCATCGATGTTATCGAAAAGCGAATAATTTATGAAATATTTCATACTTTAAACTGAAAATATCAGGATGAGAAGTAAAATATCTCAAAAAATGTTCACTTTTCGATGATCTTACTCTAATACTTTTACACGCAGAATGAACAGACGAATTGATTTGTGTTAAGAAAACTATATGATTACGTTAAAAAAAATGTTGACCTTCACTCGACCTTGACATCTCCACCCAAGGTTAAACTGATGAGATCAGTAAATAGATCTTTTTAGACTCTATGACTTTTGTCTAGAACATTTTCTTCAAAATCGCATCGTTTACGAGATATTCGACTGCATTCAGACTTTTGTGGCCTATCTTGTGTGTGTATGTGTGTGTGTGTGGTTTATCCGGCCACGGAACAAGGTGGCCGAGTCGTAACGAAATTCGTGCGATTGATTTGTAACCCATATTTATTTAATTAGATACATCGAGAAAGATGTGTGAATATGTATATATATATATATATATATATGTATATATATATATATCTATATATGTATACTTAGATCTGAAACATACTGAAAATATAATATATTATTTGAGCGATTATCAGACTAAGGATGAGTCCCGTTCACCAGTGCCTCCCCCCCCCCCC